AAATTGAACCTGGGTCCTCTGGTAGAGCAGCCCGTGCTCTTAACTCTTGGGCTATCTCTCCATCCTTATTTATTGTTTTTTTTTCTTTTTTTGAGATTGGATTCTTGTTATGTATCCCAGGCTGGTTTTGAATTCATAATCCTCCCGCATCAGCCTCCCAAGTCCTAGGATTGTTAGCATGAGCCACTATGGCCAATTCCCTTTAGCAACTATTGTTATTGCCATCCATCAAACCATGTTTCCTGACAAACACTTTATTTGGAAATTTAAATCAATATACAGATAATATGTATACATTGTAAAACATTTTTTGATGGGAATTTTTGTCTTTTGGGTTATAAACTTAGCTTTAATAGCTAAGTAATCTCTCCATCCCTGGTAGGACTTTTGAAAAAAAAAATTTAATTTTTTGTTGTTGATGTTTTTTGAGACAGGGTTTCTCTGTGTAGCTTTGCACCTTTCCTGGAACTCACTCTATAGCCTAGGTTGGCCTCGAACTCACAGAGATCCTCCTGCTTCTGCCTCCCAAGTGCGGGAATTAAAGGCGTGTACCACCACCATCTGGCTGAAAAAATATTTTTTTTAAAGATTTATTTATTTATTATGTATACAGGAGAGGGCGCCAGATCTCATTACAGATGGTTGTAAGCCACCATGTGGTTGCTGGGAATTGAACTCAGGACCTCTAGAAAAGCAGTCGGTGTTCTTAACCTCTGAGCCATCTCTCCAGCCCCATGAAAAAATATTTTTAATTAAAAGATTTTTACACTAGGGAGGCAAAGGCAGGCGGATCTCTGTGAGTTCAAGGCCAGCCTGGTCTACAGAGCAAGTTCCAGGACAGCCAGGGCTACACAGAGACACCCTGTCTCAAAAAAACAAAAAGTGAACAAAAATTGTTTATATTTGCTTATATGTGTGGTTTTGTGCATGTATATGTGCTCACCATGTGTGTGCCTGGTGCCAGAGGTCAAAAGGAGCATCCTATTCCTAGAGCTGGATATATATGTATATGGTTGTGAGCCACTATATGGGTTCTGGGAACTAATTCCTGATACTCTGCATGAGCAGCAAGTGCCCTTAATAACTGAACCATCTCTCCAGCCCCTTGTTGGACTTTTTTTTTTCAAGACAGGGTTTCTCTGTGCAGCCCTGGCTGTCCTGGAACTCAGTCTGTAGACCAAGCTGTCCTCGAACTCACAGAGATCCTCCTGCTTCTGCCTCCTGAGCACTGAGATTAAAGGAGTGCACCACCACTACCTGGCCCTGTAGTGGATTTTTTTTTCTTTCTTTCTTTCTTTTTTTTTCCAGGAGCTGAGGACCGAACCCAGGGCCTTGCCCTTGTTAGGCAAGCGCTCTACCACTGAGCTAAATCTCCAACCCGCCCTCTCGTGGATTTTTAAAGCGTCCTTTTTTTTTTTTTTTTTTTTTTTTTTTTTTTTTTTTTTTTTT